GCAGCTTTCCTGCTCCTCTAATGCTGCTTGGCCTGCTGTGTTCATCCAGCTCTACACCTTGTTATGACACAAATCATTACAGTATTAGCAATGAATTTGAAAAAGACTCTCAGCAATTCCATCGATTAATTAATTCCGGAAATGCTCCCTTGAGATGTTATTGATCCTTTTCAGTGAGAGAACCTATCATCGGTGATCGGTCATTACATTGTTGGGATATTTGTCTCAAGTGGCTTAGTTAGCTCAGTGAGTTTTAGTCTTTTACCATCTCTGGCCACAATTGCTGTTTGCTTGCACTGTCTAACATTAGCCAGTTTTGATTTTCAATGTTTGATGCCTGTGTTTGAAGAGTTGAGTTTGCCATAATATAAGTAAACGTTTACAGTCAGATTGAGAGAACAATGAAGACATTCCTGGCGCTACTTCTCTGTCAAATGCGTGTCTACCCCATTTTTGAAAAATCAAATAAACTAAATTCACCAATTAACTGGCGAGCAGTCTGTCACGGGGGACTGTAACAGAGAAAATGCCATATTGCAAATGAAACTTCAACAAATTGGATGATGACTTGGGTGGAAAGAGCGTGCAAGGATACTGGGGAGAGGCAAGGGATTGGCGCTAGGGAATGGTGCTCACTTAAAGAGCCAGTGCAGGCACGATGGATCGATGGCCCCCTGCACCATAACAATTTGGTGAAATTTCAATTAAAATACTGTTTCGGGGGCCAGAGCTACTGAAGGCCTCAAGAATGTGCCTGTTGACAGTATGCCACCTCTCCAGGTACACTTAGACACAGGCATAACTGCAGTACAGTGCCAGGCAGTCAGGTATAAAAATTCCCTTCATGACTCCCTTGGCCAAGCCCAGGGGGCTCCTCCAATTGGCACTCTTTTCCTACACTCCCTCCTCCTCAATGAGGTCTCAGAGATCAGAAGCCTGGGTCTGAAATGCTAGCAAAGCATCAAAAATTAAAATAGGGGCTGCACCCTTGCACTGCCTAAGTAACTATGAATCTGCCAAACTTACCTCTTCAGAAATGTTCTGGCTCCTGATTCAAAGGTTGGGACATTGCCACTGCACCAGGAGGACCCTTCAGAACACAGGCTCCTCCAGGCCACAGAAAGCATAAGCCACCGTGGATAACTGAGTGTGAATGTGTGCATGCTCTAGTTGCTACTAAGAGCAGCTGATGTGAACTGCTGAAAGGTTAGGGCATATGCACACACACGCACACACACACACATACACACACACAAACACGCAGCCATTCTTACCTGGTCTGGCCGACATGTAACGCCAGACCCACAACAATGTGTTTGACTCATAATAGCCTCTGGGCAATTAGGGATGAACAATAAATGCTGGCCTAGCCAGAGACGCCCTCATCCTGTGAATGAACAAAAAAAAGATGCACACACACACATTTAAGAAACAGTTCCTAACTGACAGGGGGCTGGATTGTACAAGAGAAATGTTGTCTGCAGTGATGCTTTACTGGGTTTGGAGCATTGAATATTGTGAATAAACCAATGTGAAAGACATTTCAACTCCTTCTTCTTCCTTTCCCAAATGGATGCTTACCACATTAACACCCAGTTCATTAAAAGCATCTTTGTAATTATTCCTGACTTCCAGCCAACACTTATATGAAACTTTTTGTTCCTTTAGGTTCATTAATCTTCCTGTTTCATTAAAATGATTATCACCATTCGACCTAGTTTAGACCTTCTTATATATTTAATGAACATTTGTATCCAACACAGACTGAATCTCTTCCTATTAGCCTGAATTTCAGAACCGCAACACAGATTTTTCAATAATTTCCCAATTAGCAAATATCCTGTCTTGAAGTAATATACAAGCACCAAAAAATGTATTTTTTAAATTCTTTCAGGAGGTGTGGATGTTGCTGGCAAAGTCAAAGATACAATTTCACAAGAACACAAGAAATATGAACAGGGGTAGACCATTCAGCTCACTGAGCCTGCTCTGCCTTCTTGGGTCATCTTGGGTATTAGCAGCCCACCCTCTACATCCCCTAATTCTCTGAGAACCGCAATTCTGTCCCACTCTTAAATCCAGTCAACAACGCAGCATGCACATCCCGCTGGTGTAGAGAATTCCAAAGATTCACAATCATTTGAGGGAAGGAATTTCTCTTCATTCTCAGTCTTAAAGTATCAGCCCCTTACCCAGAAACCGCACCCCTCCCCAGCTCATGTTTCACCTTCCTGACAACCAGAAGCAATCTCTCATTATCTCCTCTATCAAGGTCCCTTCAGAACCTTGTACGTTTCAACGTGATCACCATTCGTTCCTCAAAACTCCAGAGAATTCAGGTTCCATTTGCTCAGCCTCCCCTCACTGTGCAAACCCCCCCTCATTGCAGGGACTAATCCTTTGCAGCATTACCTCAACACAAGTACATCCCTTTGTAAATGTGGGAATCCAAAACTGCACCTTAAATTTATGATGTGGTCTTGCCAAAATCTTGTACAATTTTAGCAAGATGTTTTTATTCATGAACTCCAACCCCCTTGTCATGGTTGCATACACAGGCTTGAAATGTGCTGTCTACTGAGCTGTGGTGAATTTCTGCAGTGCATCTTGTAGATGGTACATACTGCTGCTACTCAGCTTCGGAGGCGGAGGGAACTGCTTACATGGGTCCTGGACGGTGTTGAGATTCCTGAGTGTTCTTGGAGCTGCAATTACCTAGGCAGGGGTATTTCATCACAATCACAACTCATGTCATGTAGCTGGTGGACAATCTTTGGGGAATTTAGGAAGTTATGTGCTGCAGAATTCCCAGCTTCTGACCTGTACTTGCATTTCATTGTGAGACTGTTTCTGGGTGTTAGTAACTCTGTGCAAAAGCAAAACATTGCAACGGGGAAAATTTAAATTGAAAATGTTCTGATATCTTTCTGCTTAAAGGTGCCCATCACAACTCCATCTAATGATGGTCGTGTGACAAGTGGATCAGGCAGGACGGATATATCGAAAAGTGAGACACACTTAAACCATATTCTGTTTGCTTACTTCTGCTTATAGTATAGTTTGTGCTTACATTGTTCTTTGTCAGCAACTGAAAATAGATTTGTAAGCCCATCACCTCGTCCAAATTTATTTATTTATTTCATTCATTCGTGGAACATGGGCAACAATGGCAAGGCCAATATTTGTTGCTCATCCCTCATTGCACCTGAACTGAACGGCTTGTTAATCCATTTCAGAGGGAAGTTAAAAATCTGCCGCATTGTTGTGGATCTGAAGCTGCCTGTAGGGCAGTCCAGATAAGGACAGCAGACTTCCTTCCCTAAAGGACATGAGTGAACCTGATGCGTATTTATGATAATTGATGACAGTTTCGTGTTTGACATCGCTGAGATGACCAACTCTATATGTTATTAATTGACATTATTTCCAACAGCTGCTGATGTAGAGCTTGAGCCCATGTCTGTTGACATTATCTCTGTGTTATCACCTCAAAGCTTTTTCTCTACTTGGAACGACTACTCAGATGCTCCCTGCTGATTGACCAAGCCCCACAGATTGAAGCTGCTTACCCAATTGATAGTTTGAGTGTGCCTATTTGATGTAGCTGTACCTTTAGGAGGGCATATCTTAAACTTCTGTCACCCGCTACCCACCTAACAATGAATTGTTAGTCAGTCTGAAGAAGCAGTGTCATAATCCAGGTGTGTTATACTTAGCTCCCAGTGAACGTAATCTGTAAACAATCTTATCTTCAAACAAAGAGCACTCATTATTGGTTCATAGATCATAGAATCACGGAATTGTTATGGTACCGAAGGAGGCCATTCAGCCCATTGTGCCTATGCCACCTGTTCAAACAAGCATCATTCCCTAGTGCCAACCTCCTGCTTTTTCCCCATTCCCTTGCACACTATTTCTATCCAAATAATCATCCAATCCCATCTTGAATGCCTCAGTTGAACCTACCTCCACTACATTTCCAGGCAGTGCATTCCATTACCTAACTACTCACTGTGTGAAAGAAGGTTTTTTCACATTGCCCTCTTGCTTTTTTTGCACATCTCTTTAAATTTATGTCCGCTCGGTTCTTGTTACTTTGTGACTAGGAACAGTATTTTGTCCCTATGTACACTGTTCAGGCTGCCCTATTAGTCACAAAGGATTCATTAATCCCTGTGTGTGGGGTTGGTATGTTTATGTTTAGAGTGTAATAACTATCCTTGACCCTCACTTGCAGCAAGGGAAACTGGTAAACACAATATTAAATACCTAACCCCCATCAGGTCTAATTTCGGGGCTAGAACGGATGTTCTTCCTCAACCTGAGGTGAGATCAAAATTGAACAAATTTTACTCAGCTTCCCCTCAAATATTCTTGTGAGGACTTCCTGATCTTTCTAGCTAGAAGTACAAATTAATAAAAATGTGAGGGGCTAGAAATTTTTCGGTAGCAGTGCCGCTATCAGACAATAATGCACTGGTTGTCCATTATACAGATTGTCTGATATTTATTTATACTGACTACTGTGGAACTGAGTCATAAACTCCTTTAAAAAAAAAGAAAGACATGCCATCAACAATTTTCATTTTGCACTCATCAGGACAGAATCACAAGAATACCAAATTTCAAGGGAACAGTAATTAATACTGCATAAAAAGAGGGTGCCTATTGGCTAGCAGATAGATCATACAGGTAGAGGCGTTGCCGTGGAGAATGCAGCAGGGAACGGTTAATTGCAAACCAGACAAGTTGACTGTGATTAGTGAAAGCATTTCCAAGGAGGATTCAGCAGGGAATAGCGATACCCCTCAAATTTTGTGGAAAACAGCACAGAGTGAAAAGCTTTGACTTAAAGGATCTTTTTTCAGCGATGCTCATTTTCCATGTGAATATCAAGCCAATATTGAATGCTACGTGGATCAGGCAGCTAGCTGATACCATCCATCCTGACCCATTGGTTGTGATGAATTTCTGTCCTGAGAATATATACCCCTGACCCATTGTGTTGGTGCAGCAAAAAAAGATTGTTACTGAACTGCTACAATCAATGTAGAATGTGCAATAATAGTATTTTCTTAATCTGGGAGTAATGCTTTGCAATGTACCTCAAAGGATGTTAGCAATGGCCTACAGTCATTCTCTTTGAATGAGACAGAATCAATTGTCCTGAGTCACTGGTAAATTGGATTTCATTTGCTCCTTCTCCCTTTCAGTGTTGCAGCTGAGAGGTACAACAGATCGTTAGAAACCAGTTAACTCCTCAATTGGCACTGAGTGGCAATAAAAAGGGAACAATATTGTCAGGCCACCAGGGCTATGCTTGAAATGCCCTCCTGAATAACTGCTGCAAGGAACAACATTTATCTTTCAATTTTTTCTCTTGTTTGTGGTTACAGTTCCAAAGTTATTGACCTTGTGATTGTCTGCCATCAATTTTGGGATACAATGCTGGGGAGGCTACAAATAGATTCTTGTCCACTGAAACTCCATTAGTTTTAATCCAGATGTTGGTGTTCGTACAAAATAGGTCCAGGAGTGGACCATTCAGCCCTTCAAGTTTGCTCCCCCAATCAATAATGAACTTTGTTTAGCTATTCTTTCATGGGATGCGGGTGCCTCTGGCTGGACCATTATTTATTGCCCATCCCTAGTTGCCTCTTGAGAAAGTGGTGATGAGCTGCCTTCTTAAAGTGCTGCAGACCATGTGCTATACTGACACTCACAATGTTCCATGATCAACATCAATAAGACTTCAATGCTCTATCCCCTTATCCATCATTTTCTTTCAGTGTCCAAAACTCTATCAAGTCCATTCTTAAAAATGGTTGAGCATAGGGTGGGGAATTTCAAAAGACTGACAACCCTCTGACTGAAAAATAATCGCTTCATCTCATTCCAAATTATAGACCTTTTAGACTTGTAGATTCAGTTGAAGAACCATGTTACTACTTGGAAATTTCGGTTTTGAACAACGAACATTGTATAGCTTCAAGTTTGATTTGTATTTCTATTTCGATTTATGCTTTTTAAGAAGGGAGAAAGACATAGATTTAGTTTTATTTTGTATTCTGTGAGTGTAGAATCCTTATGGTATGAAGCAGGCCACTCCGCCCATCAAGTCCACACTGACCTTCCAAAAAGCAGCCCACCTTATAATCTTGCGTTTCCCATGGCGAACTCATTTAGCTTGCACATCCCTGGACACTATTTCGCATGGCCAAATCCACCTAACTTGCACATCTTTGGACAGTGCAAGGAAACCAGAGCAGCTGGAGGAAACCCACACAGACACTTGGAGAATGTGCAGATACCTGATGATGAAATCGAACCCAGGTCTCCGGCACTGTGAGGCAGCAGTGCTAACCACTGAGCCACAGTGCCTGATATATTTAAATAGGGTTATTGAATCCTTTGAAGTGAAAAGTTCAGTGCATTAGAAACGAGCAGATGAGAGGGAGAAAAACAGAGCTGTTTCCTTGAGCCAGAAGTACAGTATCACATAACAACAGAACCATCCAGAAGGTTAGACAGTGTGCAAAGTTCAGTCACCAAGATAATGCCCTTAACAGAAGTTTTTCTTTAAAACAAAAGCAGACTCCAGTGCAGTCAGTGCTGGGGAAGATGTCTTGAGTTCACTAGAATAATTCTAGAAGCAGAAAGCTGTGGAAGGGTTTAAGGAACCCTTGTTGAATGATAAGTGAGTGGTGTTAGCAGTTAGTTTAAGGGTGCCAGGAAAAAATATTAACTAAAGAAAATAGCATCGATTAAATGTAGAAATTTGCTGAAAAGAAACAAATTACAGCCATGCAACTTGAAAATGGAGACCAGGGGACCTTTCACAGAGGTTTGAGTCTCTTTAAGGTTGATGTTGAGGGTAAAAGGGTTGAATCTTTATTTCAGATATCTAAAATAATACACCTTAAAATAATTCTTGAATAGGTAACATTGTTCATGTTTTTTATTTCCTTTTTTATATGTGAATTGTATGTTCTTTTGTTAAAAGTACGCTGGCAGTTTCTTGTGATTATGAGCGTGACTAACCACCACGGTAAACAAACAGCAATAAATAAAACTTATGATCTATCAAGCCAGGTTTCAGTCCAGGATCTGACTTGACCAGTACTACCATCAGCTCTGATCATGAGACAGTGCATTGACCAGGCCAGAACGAGTCTCAAGGAAGAGCTCCGTATTTGTAGTAGCGTTGTGTTAGCTAAGCATGGTGAAATAACACAAGCCATCGAATACCCTGTTTACTTCCCCTGAAACTCTGCTCACTAGTTTGACAGTGTCCAGCTGGGGAGAGAAACATTCTCTCTACATCTATTCTGTCAAATCATTTCAAGAGTATTACAGCTTTCATTGAGATCGCCTTTCATTATCCTACATACTAGAGAGTGCATGTCTAGTCTACACTATAGTCCTTGTGTGAAGCTATCCCTGTAATGCGGATATTTTAAGTGGCATCTTGAAGAATACTTGAGAGAATGTTTGAACTCCTTTTAAAGTTTACAAAGGCTTGAAGCTATTAGAATAAGATTCATAAAATTCTGGATCATGTACAGGTTGAAGTGCAACTTTCTGAAAAATAATTCATGCCAGTTTTGGATGTTAAAGTAACCTTCCTGAGTGTAGCTTTCATAAAGCAATTTACAATAAACTTTCACAATGTAGATCGGTCATACATTGTACGGCAGAAATCTCGTCAGGGAAAGCACTTAATGTGTTTGACCCAAATTCTTCTGAGTTTCTAATCTGCTTCCAACTTATTTATCATTTGTACTGTATCCGTAAGAATGTCAGAGTGAAGAGTTAAGTGTGGATTTGTTAAGTGTTTGTAGAGTAATGTTAACAGCAATTGTTTGTACTTTCCATTGCTGAAAACTTTTCAACCTTTGTATGGAATCTGCTCACTGACTGAGCATCCGCTGCTCTCTAAGATGGAGAATTCTAAACACTATAAGTGAAGACATGTCTCCTCTAACAGGATCTGAAATGGCTGACCCC